TATAAAATTTCGAATTCAGTACTGAGAATTCAAGTCAGGTTTCTCCTGACTCTGTATCATTGTCACACCATCACAAAGTCAAGAAATCCTAGGTTGAACATTGGGGACCATCTGTGTCGTTGCCAAAGGACCCATCTTTCTGTCTGCGTAAATCAGACACCCCCTCAGCCTTCAGCCAAGACTAGTCTGAAGTGCTTTCATTCCTGCATGTGTGACAGACCAACACAGAAGCCACCTCCACCGCACTGGGGCCAGGAGTTGCGCGTCTGTGAGGCCGGGCAGGCCTGCCCGCAGCTCTGTCTTTTGTGAGCAGTGACTTACACCAGAGGTGTAGGAAGGAATGTCGTCTGGATCTTTATCTAGGGGCCTGTTTTCTGTTTTCCTTCTGTGCCTTAGGGTGTTGTGGGGTCTCATATAAGAGGGATTAACCAGCTTCTTCTTTTTTTTTTTTTTAAGTCCTATCTATTTTTTTATTTTTTAGGTTTTTGCCATAGGGTTCTTATGCTCACCGGAAAGACAGTGAAAGGGAAAGTGAGACACCCACTGCCCCCGCCAGCCCCCAGTGATTCACACTGTAGTCCCTTCTCCTCCATTCTCCTCTTGGGATGTTGGGCACTCATGTAGTCATGCCTGGTGAGAGTTTCAGATTACCACATTAGGGATTTGAACCGCAGCCAGCCATGTAGGAGTTCAGTGCTTTAACCACCATGACACCCTCTGGCCCCTTAAAAATCCTATCTTTAAAGAATCTCTCTGTGTTGCAGCCCTCCCACATCAGCCTTCCGATTAGGTGGGATAATGGGCATGTGCTACCGTTGCATGGGCCTTTAGAGCAGTCCAGGAATTGAACCTGGGCCTTCCATGTAGCCTCAGCCTGCTAGCAGCAGTGTCCAACATGTGCTCCCACAGCTGGGCCTTTATAATTATTATATTTTTAGAATTATTTACTCAATGTTATTTATTTTTATTATTAAATTCAATCTGACCAGAGAGAGAAAGAGAGAAGAGTGAGAAAGCAAGCTGTCAGGTCCAGGACTCAAACCGTGGTCGGCCATGTGGGAGTCCAGCACCTTAGCCACCATGCCACCTACCAGCCCCTGTAATTAATGTTATTTTGCTAATAATCCTCCCATTTCTTGAACTTCTGCTCCCTGCCAGGCACTGTTCTAAGTACTCACCATGTTTTATCTCATTGAATCTTCACCACTGTGAGCATGTCCAACGTCCCACCGCTAACAGGTGGCAGAGTTGGGATTCAACACCCTCCCAGCCTCTGTGCCTCCCATGGAAGACAGCCCCACCCCTTCTTTCTCTGGCACCCCATTTTTCCTTTGTAGCAGCGGTCACCGTTTATAGTTCTGTATTTATTTGCATTTGGTTTGTGTATTTTCCATCTCCACAAAGGTGAGACTCTGCATGGGTTGGGGACCTCGATGTCTCATTTGCAAATCTCCCCAGCTCTTAGCCCTCATCCTGCCACATAGGCAGGTCCTCCCCACATATTTGCCCGAGAAATAAATGAGTCATTGATAGCTGTGCTCTATCCCCTCCTCCTTCCCTGCCAGCATCTCAGGCTTTCCCAGCAGGTAGGACTGGAGTTGCCTTTGATTGCCTGATTACCCACACTGCCCCTGGGAGTGGGCAGCAAGATATCGACTCTTGCGGAAGAAAGGAAGAAAAACTCGCTGGCAACGCCTACAAAGCACACGCACCACCTCCTCCACTAGTGATGTTGCCACCTTAGGCGGGGCGCTTTCCAGCTTTCCACACAGCTCCTGTGCGCCGCAGGCCACTTGTCCCTCCTGACAATCCTGTGAGGGAGGCCACGGGTTTCCATCTTCCAGATGTGAATACTGAGACTTTGAGATGAAGGGACTTGTCCAAGGTCATTCACCTAGACGATAGCAGAGCTAGGATTTGAACCCAGATTCATCTGGCTCCATAGTCTGAAATTACCCTGCAAGATTGGTCTGGAAGGTAGGGGCCATACATCTGCCCCATGAACAACATGGGTTTGACCTGTGTGGGCCCACTTCCATGCAGATCGTTTTCAGTAAATATTGGGAAATACGGTAGAGTGCTGGACATGTATTTTTCTTCCTAATGCTTTTCTTTTCTTTCTTTCTTTTTTTTTTTTTTTAAGAATTATTTATTTAATTTTATTTATTATTGTTATTGTTTTAATTTGAACAGAGAGAGAAAAGGAAAGTGAGAGAGCAAGCTGTCAGGTCCAGGCCTTGAGCTATGGTCAGCCATGAGGGAGTCCAGTGACTTAACCACCACATCATCTGTTGGCCCCCTGTTGCTTTTCTTAATAACATTATGTTTTCTTTTGCTCACTTTGCTCTAAGAATACGGTATATAATACTACGCACAAACTAAAAAGAAGGCGGGAGCATAGTGAAATAGGAGGAATTTAATTTGAGCCAATGAGCTCAGGAACATTGGGAAGAAGAAAGGGTGGGAACCTGCTATAAAGTCTGTAATCCTTCGTACCATCACAGTTTCTTTTCATTTCTTTTTTCCTTTCTTTTCTCTTCCTTTACCTGCCCCTCTTCTGAGAGAGAGAGAGAGAGAGAGAGAGAGAGAGAGAGAGAGAGCACTCTTCATAGAGTGAGGTCGCCCTTGCAATCCTTTCTTCTCCATTTCCACCTCCCCTCCTCTCTTTGGTCACCGTGATATGGTTTGTTTGAAAATGGGGGAAAATGCTTGTTTCTTTTTATTTTTTTCCCCCCAAAACTGACTTTGCTCGAACTGGTCGTAGTCGGAAATGAACTGAAAGGCTGTGTTGGTAGCTGCAGGGCCGACGGTGGGTTTGGATCTCTGGCTTGGCTGATAGGACACTCAGGCGTGCGGAGGACCTTGACAAGCTGGAGGGTTGGGGGAAGGGGTCCTATCTGTGTGCTGAGAGCCTATGGAGGGTGTGGCCCTCTCCCTCCCTCTCTTCCTCTTGTGTTCATGAGTGGGCTATCATGAATAAGCACTAACTTGTTTTGAGTAGCATCTTCTCATCAGTGACACCAAGACGTTTTTCTATCTCTGTTTCCCAGTGTCTGCACGAAGGTGTGTATTCAAACCAAAATGTAGGTGGTACGTTTCACTCTGTTGTACGCATCACCCTTGGCAAGCTCGATCTATTCCCTTCTTTGACCAGTGGGAGCCATTTGGGGTCACTTCTGAACCTTTTAACAATCCTACAGCTCTTCAGTTTTCCCACTGTAGGATCCAACAAGAACTTAAAGATAAGTTCCAGGCTTATCTTTCTATTTCCCACCCACCAACTTTGCCAAGAAAAATCTGGACGTTTAAACAAAAACAAAGTTTTAGTGCCCTAGTCCCACCTTAAACCAGCTTAATCAGAAACTTTGTGGGGTGGAGCCTGGGATATAGTGTTTTTAAAAAGTGCTCCCAGCCTGGACAGACATCTACTTAAGGAGCAAGTATTTCTGTGAGCAGGCTCTCTGATTGCTTTGTGTCTGCAAATTTGGGACATTGATGACATCCTTGTCTGCAGATCTCAGTGATGCACAGGGACCACCCTTCCCTTCGCTGAGGCCCGAGTTGCAGAATTGAGACCTTGGTGTGCCTGCACTGGAAACTGACCTCCGTCTCCCCCACGCTCTGTCATGAGGTCCCTTTCCCAGCTGGCCTGGTCTTAAGCTGGGCATCTTTGTTCTTTGGGGAATGAGGTTCCTGGATAGTGTGTTTAGAATTGTCAGAGACTTCCTGTTGCCCCTAGGGAAGGAAACCAAAATGTCTTACGTGGCTGTCATTGTAAACTCGGTATCGTCTCCAGTGTGGACTGGCCAGGCCTCTCTGAGTTCCTGTAGTAGGTGATTATTATTTTTTTTTCTTAAAGAATTATTTTTGATTTTATTTATTATTGTTTTTAATGTTTGCTATAGGGCACATGTGATCACCAGAGACAGACAGAGAGTGGGAAAGTGAGAAAGCAAGGGCCAGGTCTGGGACTTGAACCATGAGTCCAACCAACCACTGGATTATAGAGTTGGCCATGTAGAGTCCAGTGCCCTAACCACCACACCACCTGCTGGCCCTTGCTGATGTGCTGGGAATGCCTGGCCTGTCCTCTGCTCCTCCGGGGAGGCCAGTTGACCATCTTCCTGAGGGCAGCCTGCCCTGATCCTGGTAGAGTGTGCTAGCCCTCACTATCATGTGGTTTCATTGTCAGTGTTTACCCGCTATCTGGGCACATGTCGCAGTCGCGGTTTGCTGTTCGTTGTGTGTGATCATTTGATTGATGTCTGTCATTAGAGCCTGACTGGAGTGCACATCCATTCTCTACTTCTAGTAATGGGCCTTTGGGCAAGTCATTTCACCCGTTCCTCAGTTTCTTTAACCGCGAGATGGGGGTGATACCTTCACTGATCTGTAAGGAGGTTAGAAGTAAGTGAGGTAATTTGTGTGAAGGTTGTAGAATTACAGCGAGCAGGGAGCATTAGCAGGTGTCCGCGGTCACCCTCACTCATTCCACAGGCTTCATGAAGGCAGTCGTGTGGCCATTCAGATTTGTGCACATGGTGTGTGCTGTGGAGTCGGTGTGTGCATGGGTGAGTGATGAGTGACGTGGAGAAAACGGTGCTGCTCCATTCACAGGGTTCTGTAGGGTAAGAGAGAGAGCAACTGCGTAGTGCTTCGTAGAGTGCCTGGCACCTAGTAGATGCTCAGGAACCATGTGTTCAGTGACTGAGTGAAGTGGGACAAAATATTAGCACCAGCTCACAGGGTTTTGGAGGGGGTATGAGATGAGACAGGTGTTGTGGTTCCAAGCATAGACACTCAAGAAGTATTTATTAAGTGAAACTGGAGGAGCCGTCGTAAGTGTTTCCCAAGGGCTCAGAAGAGGAATCCATCCAGCTGGTGATGGTTCTTCTTAGGATTAGTGGTCATATAACTGCTCCTGGCCGAGCCCTGGCGTAGACACAAGGTTAATCATTCGCTTCCCTTTTTCTCCCTGCCCTGTGCTTTCTCTCTGCTAGAATCCCTGCCCGGAATCCAGTGCCTCCTTCCTTTCCAGGATCACCTTCTGGTGGATCACAGGGTAAGGCTGGGCCCCCCAGACCGCAGGCTGCTGGTGAGTGATGGATGGATGGCATTCAGCCTCCACCACCCTCTCCTTCATTCCCTCCATCCCTCCTCTGCACGGTTGTGTCCTGAGTCCCTGTGCTGCCCTTGTAACCTCAGAGGTTCAACCCTGTCTCCCAAATTCACGAACTCGATTTGGTGAATGCATTAGATAAATAATACATGCACACTTAGGAAATGTGAGTAAAAGAAGTATCTGTAGGGGGACCAGCAGTTAGCATAATGGCTATGTCGCTGGACTCCCATGTAGTTGAGGGCAGTTTGCGTCCTGGACCCGGTGGCTTAAACTCATGCCGGGTGCATGTGTGCATGCGTGCCCAAGGTCCTGAGAGGAGAATGGAGGAGAAGGGATTGCAGCATGGTCATCCCTCCTCGGGAGTGATTTCTCACTTTCTGTCTTTCTGGCGAGCACGTGCACCCTATAGCTAAAACATCTCCAAAAAAAAAAGCACCTGTAGATTCAGAACAAGGAAACCCTGAGGCAACCACTGTCAGTATCCGATGCGGTTCCTTCTGTCCCGGCCTTGCTCTGCATGTCTTTTTCTGCCCACTGTCCACATCTTAGTGGGAATTATTTGAGTTCATTTTCCCCTAATAAGCATCAACTTTGTCTTTACAAACATTTTATAGACATCTTTTTATTTATGTACTTATTTTTTGCTACAGGGTGCTTGCCCTCGCCAAAGAGAGGGGATGGGGGGACAGTGAGAAATCTTCCCCCAGGGGGAATTCGCCGTGCTGCAGTCCCTTCTCTCTCATTCTCCTCTTGGGATTTTGGGTGCACACACAGATGTATCCAGCGTGATTTATAAACTGATGGGTCTAGGACTTGAACCACTGGAATCTAGCTACCGATTGGCCCATTCATTGTTGTTTTTAATTGCCAGAAGGCATATATGCTGACCAGAGAGAGAGGGCGAGGAAGAGTGCTTCTCCCAGCAGGGTGCGCTCATGCCGCACTGCCTTCTTCTCTGTCCTGCCATCCTGTCTGGACTTTGGGCATATACACAGATATGCCTGGTGTGTTTCTCAAGCACCTGAGGCTGGGATTTCCTCTGTCAGCCTTGTAGGATCTGGCTCCCTTAACCATTAGGCCAGCCCACAAACATCTCTATTTAATTATGTATTTTTTAAGGTTTGTTCATTTCTTCCATGAGAGACAAGTACTCCCAAAAGGGTCTCGAAGCTGAAATCCATTCCCGGATGCAGCCAGCCCTGATCACAGGCTGTGTGTGTGTGCCTGGCATGGACAGGGAGGCCCCACGGCGTGAACCCGGGACCTCCCACTGTGGGTCTAGTATCAGAGAGCATTCTGTTACTGCCATACCACTGGTTGGCTGCAGATTAAGTATTTTTAATAATTCTTTTCCACAGTATTAAAGAACATCACTGGACAGTTGGGTAATTCGAAATGTAATTTGATACAGGTTACTACATCTGAGTAACATTTTGTTTTTGAACATTGCACTCCAGTTACGTAGAGTTCAAGAGCCGTCCTCGTTTTCAGAGGGATACATGCAAATATTTAGGGGTAAAGGTTTATAGAATCTGTAGCTTACTCTATGATGGTTCAGAAAAAAATGGCATGCGCTCATATGTATGCATGTATGGACGGAGACGGAGGAGTGATGCTGCAGGTGTGGCAGACGTGGGCAGTGGTGCACGGAGCCAGCTCTTTGTGCGATCCATGTGTTTTCTCTGTAAGTTTGCCATTACTTTAAAATGACCAATGAAAATAATTAGGTTCAGTTTTTATTAAGAAAATGTTCCGACACATAGAAAGATGAGTAGAAGAAAACTTAATACATTTGAGCTGATCCTGTACCCTTGAGGTTAATGAAGCTGGATTCCACATAGCCAACCACGGTTCAGATCCCAGCCCTAGTGGCTTTAAAACACACTGGACACACGTGCATGCCCAAAATCCCGACGGGGAGAAGTGGAGAAGGGATTGTGGTGGGACCACTCCCTAAGGGGTAGAGGGTGCTTTTTCCCTCTCCCTCAGGCTCTCTCAGGCAAGTGCACCTGCCCTCTAGTAATTTTAAAAAAAAGAAAGAAAGAGAAAGAAAGAAAGAAAGAAAGAAAGAAAGAAAGAAAGAAAGAAAGAAGTAAGTCAAGAAATGCATTGATTGTTAATACTTTTTCATTTTAGCTTTTTTTTTTTTTTTTTTTAAATAGGGTTTTACTTTCTCATGACCCAGCTGGGACTACAGATATGTACTGCCATACCCTGGTCTTTTTCAGACAGGGGCTTTCTGTGTTGCTTAGGCCAGCCTGTGTACCTGATCCTCCTGCTTCAGCCTCCCCAAGTTGCCAAGATTACAGACAGATGCCACTGTGCCTGGCCTTGAGGTTGGAGAGACCGGGTATTGAACCTGGGCCTCTTGTGTGGTCCCAGCCTGTGGAACAGTGTCTTAGCGATGCACGCCTCTGTGGCTGGGTCACATTAGCCATTTTTTTCATTTAAAATTTAAAAAGCAAATTGGAGCCATCCTGATACTCTCCTCCGAAATATTCTGTATATATTTCTGGAAGAAATAAAGCTGTTCTTCCCTGGCTAACGTGACACAGTTAGCAGTAATGTGCCCTGGGTTCCCCCAGCTCTGTGGCTGCCTGCCACCACAGGGGCAGCCATGCTGTGGAGGGCACCCCATCGTCTTCTTCCTCCTCTTGTCAACTCATCAACTACCCCTCTGTGTCTTGGCCCCAGGTTGATGGTCCGGGGCTACCGCCAGCCACTGGAGGGAAGCGACCTCTGGTCCCTAAACAAGGAGGACACATCAGAAGAAGTTGTCCCTGTTTTGGTGAGGAACTGGAAGAAGGAGTATGCCAAGTACAGGAAGTAAGTGTGGGCTCTCTTGCACTCCCAGAACAACCCAGTCACCTCTGTCCCACCGCTGGCCTGCTTCTGGGTTGGGGCCCCACAGTGCTGCCTCTTCCTGGCTTTGTGGGTCCTGGGCAAGTCGCTTCCCTTCTCCAGGCCACAGTTAGCTCATCTGCCAAGTGGGCTAGAGTCTTCCAGGTAGTTACGGCAATTTGGGTAGAACAGGAGAGGGAGGATGTCAGTTGAGCTGGTGATGGATTGATTGCCACACCCCACGTAAGTGTGCTCCTGGGCAGGGGGTCACGGCCCCTCCCTGAGTCAGTCTCATCTATCAAGAGATAGATCTTGAGTATCTGGTGTCCTAAGCGTTTCTGCTGTTTTAAGTCCTTCTGTTTGGAATTCCATGGCAACCACTTCATGACGGTTCGGCCAAAGAAGGCTCCCCTGGAGGGGGTCAGCCCAGTGCTGGATTTTAGACTGAGCCCCACCCCCTCTGCCATCGCTTTGTTTTTGTTTTTAGGAATCAGGCTGGGGTTTCTCCATCATGTACTTATTGCAGCTCGTCTGAAATGTCACCCATTGTACAATGTGTCTTACAGCAGGGGCTCTTCAAAAAGTAGAAAAATTTGTATTATGAAAATCCTCTGCATGGCTTAAAAGTCTTTTGGCCCCCAAATAAACTCATGCCTTCATCCATTTTCTTTCCCACAAGCTTTTTGAAGCCCCCTGGTGTTATGTACCAAAGAAAGAAAAACAGTGCCAGTTACACAAGGACACGTCCTTGATTTGAGTCTGGTCCAGGGCAGCCAGAGTGTGCAGTCGTCATGGATCTCTTGGGAACAGGGGGCTGTGCCACAGGAGAGTGGAGAGGCTGTTACTGTACCCGTTACTTGGTTTGGGATAGGCTCATTTTGAGCTCTGGAGCTGACTGGTGATAAGGCCACCTGCCGTGTGTGGGGTTCCCCACAGACCAGTTGTCCATACAGGAAAGTGCACCAACTCTAAGTCTTGATTCCTTTGCCAGGACTCCCTGGGTATCAGATCTTCATAAATCCAGGGGGTGAGTGGAGTTTGAGATGTCTTAGTGGTGGCCAGTAGGACAGTCCAGAGACCTGGTCACTCTGGGCTGGTTGGCCATTTGGGGTGGCCATTGCAGGGGGAGAGGTTGTCTTACAGGAGGCAGATAGAGCAGAGCTTGAGCCTCTGGCCAGGCATAGTGAGGAAACAGCCCATGTCTGTGACCGGTTGAAGGCCTTGGTTGGCAGAGGTAGGGTCCCCGTATATTAATTGGGCTTCTTCGGAGACAGAACTAATAGGTTGGTTGGATGGATGAGTGGATGGATAGATAGATAGGTGAAGGGGAATTTGTTAGGGAAATCAACTCACACGAGATGGAGCTGGAGAAGTACTACCTAGACCATCTGCAAATTGAAGATCCTAGGATGCCAACTGCATGGCTCAGCCTAAGATTGAGGCCTCAGGATCAGGGAAGCCAATGGTGAATTCTCAGTCCAAGGCCGAAGAACCTGGGAGGTCACTGGTGTGAGCTCCATAATCTAAAGGCTGGAGAACCTGGAGCTCTGATGTCCAAAGGCAGGAGAAGAAGGGCATCTCAACTGCAGGAGAGGATGAATATGCCCTCTCTTTGCTGTTTTGTTGTATGTGGGCCTCAGCCGATTGGACAGTGCCCACCCACACCCGGTGAGGGCAGATCTTCCTTGCTTAGTTTGATTCAGACATCACTGTCTTCTGGAAACACCATACAGACACACCTAGGAAAATTGCTTTACCAGCTATCTGGGCATCCCTTAACCTGGTCACATTGACTCCTAAAACCAACCATAGTCCCTTGGTTTCAGCCTCTCCTGCAGCATCCTCCCCAATGGGGCCTCTTTGTTGGTATGGGCTTCATGCTCCTCATGGCTCACACCTGGCCGACTACATGGCTGGCCTTTTTCCTGCAGTGGTTGGCAAGTGGTGCCCACCTTGGTGTTCCCAGACCTTACCAGACCAACTAGTTGCTGGAGACATCTTGGGAATTGTGGTTGCTTGCAACATGGCTCCTTGGGAAGGGGACAGAGTTTGAACCTAGCTCTTAACCGATCCATTCAGCAGATAAAATTGACAGGTGCTTTTATGCCAGGGCTGTTTGGACCCTGGGGCTTCAGAGACTGTAACAAAACAGATAGGGTCCTTATTTGGTGGCTTTTACACTCAGAGAGGGCGTGGGAGGCTGACAGACATTGATGAGAAAGTTTGAAGACTGATAGTGTTAGGGCGAGATTAGGAGGGGTGGGAGAGCTGTTTGAGAAGCAGTGGTCAGGGAGGCTTTCTGAGAAGGTGACGTCTGAGCGGGGACAGCATCAAAGGAGTGAGCAGCTTGCGTGTCTGGGGGAGCAGCAGCAGTGCAGAGGTCCTGAGGTGTGCAGGGAGTGGCAGAGGGCCCGTGGGGCTTGTGCAGTGGGTGGGGGGAGAATGGGAGGACACGAGCAGGTGGTGTCTACAGGGGCTCACAGGCTGTGCAGGAGAGCAGGGGTGGGTTCTGGTGCCATTAGAAGACAGGCAGGTTTCACAGGCGGCGGTGGCATGACGTGACCTGAGATGTTTCACAACAACATCCACTGCCCTGGAGATGGTGGATCGTGGGAATGAGAATGCAGTCCCAGAAACCAGGGTTGGGCCTCCGGGCTGCTTGTAAGCTTCCTTCATGCCCCACTGGCAACTTCTGTTTCTATGCAGAAATGGTTTTCTGAGAAGTCATTGAGATAAATGTCATCAGATAAGCTGAGCCCTGGTCCTGGGTAAGCCCCAGGCGGATTCGAGTTGTGGGAGTTGTGTCGTTTGTCCAGGCGTGGCCCCAGGCTGGACGCAGCACCTCGAGGGGTGTGGCTCTGTCCCTGCTCTGGCTCTGTCCCTGCTCTGGCCTTTAGGGATGCTCAGCCTGGAGGGGAAAGGCGGTTACCACCTTGGGACACTGACAGATGGTCACTCGCTTTATTCCCAGGGGCATAGGCCAGATCTGGCACCCACGCCGCTGTGGACAGAAGGTGCTAGGAGAGTCCTGTTCTAGGCCAGAATTTCTTGGTGTGGGCCCTCACGCCAAGTCCCTTCGGCTAAGGCATGGAATACAACTGCTGCACTCAGGGAGAAGAGCTCTAGGGATCTCTCTTGGTCCCTTTAGCTCCCTTCCTCACGCCTGGGTGACTCCCCTCAAAAGTCAGGTCTGCACTTCCTCCCTAGTCCTACCCATGGGTTTGGACGTCCTGCGCCTCCTTGGTTTGTGTTAAAGGGTCTTATGCTCTCTAACCTATGACCACCGCACTCTAAAGCCATTTTGAACTGTGGTTCCTACAGACGTGAGGATAAGATGCTTCAGCCACTCTGGAAAGAGTTTGGCAGTTTTTCAAAAAAGTGAAAACCACCCCTAGGCACATACTCAGAGCCGAAAACGTGTTCATGGAGCACTTGTACAGAAACACTCCCAGCTGCTTTGTTTGCTGTTTGTGAAAACCAAGCTGAAGCACCCAAGTGTCCGTAGAGATGTGAATGGGCACATGGTGGTTGAGGTGCTAGACTCCCACCTGGCTGACCAAAGTTCGAATCCTGGACCTGGTGGCTTGTTTGCTCACTTTCCCTCTTTTTCTGTCTGTCTCTCTGGTGAGCAAGTTAAAAGATAATAACGATAACATTGGATTGTCAGGAAATCATGACACATTTTTGCATAGAAAAGCAAATGGGGCTGGCAGGTGGCATGATGGTTAAGGTGCTGGACTCCCACAGGACTGACCATGGTTTGAGTCCCAGACCTGGTGACTTACTTTCTCACTCTCACCACCCCTACTGGGCAAATTAAACAAACAAATAAATAAAGTTAAAATAATTCTTTAAAAGAAAAAAGAAAAGCATAGAATAACATGTCATGACTTTCCCGATGGCCTAAAAGATTAATTCCTAAAGAAAAAAAAAAACTTTATAAAAAGAGAAAAGGGAGTAGATTTGCCAACAGGTGCGTCCACACAGTGGAGCCCATGCAAGCAGTACACGGCACTGAGCTCCTGAAGCTCACAGTAATTATACCGAGTGGAAAAAATCAGACCGGAAGGGAACACACTGATAAAAATGAAAACTATGATGTATAGTGACAGGAATGCGGTCAGTGGCTTCCTGGAGCGAGGACAGAGGTGAGACTGAGAGGCGGCAGGGAGGAATCAGCAAGGAAGCCTCTGGGGTGATCGCCGAGTTCATTATCTGAGTTGTGCTGATGGTTTCCTGGATACACACCTGACTGTGCACTTCACACATGGGCAGGGTGTTGTGTGCCGGCCATTCCTCACTCACGCTGTGTGTGTAAAAGCGGTCACGTTGGAAGGAAGGTGGTCGCTTTATTAATTAGTCTCTATGTCATGAAGTATTGCAGTAGGCAAAAAACGAACAAGAAACAAAACAGACAACACTTGCCAAAACCCACATGTGGAGGAGTGCTTCTCAACTTTCCAGACCAGTCATCGCCTTGAATACAGTTTTTGTCCCACCTCCTTTACGTACTTACAGGGAATTTGTAAATAAGAATAGATAATATCAGGGACCAGGAGATGGCGTAATGGTTATGGTGCTAGACTCCTACATAGTCAACTGCGGTTCAAGTCCCAGACCTGGTGGCTTTAAACTCACACTGGGCTTGTGTACATGCATGCTCAAAATCTCAAGAGGAGAATGGAGGAGAAGGGACTGCAGTGTGGCCATCCCCCCTGGGGGATGATTTCTCACTTTCTGTCTCTCTGGTGAGCGCACGTGCCCTGTAGGGGAATAAAATCTCTCAAGAAAAAAAAAATAGGGGCTAGTAGGTGCTGTGGCGGTTAAGGGCACTGGACTCCCATATGGCCGACCACGGTTTGAGTCCTGGACTTGATGGCTTGCTTTCTCTCTCTCTCTCCCTCCCTCCTTCTCTGATCAAATTAAAATAAATTAATTAATTAATTTAAAAAGCAGATGACATCAAACTTGAAAGTCAATATGAT